CCATATGGACTTCGTGCTTTTAAGCGTCACGCTGTTGTTCCCGCTTGCGAAGTCGAAAACGCGAAAAAAAAAATCACGAAATGAAATGCGTTGATCACGCGCGATAGCTCTGCGAGACAAGGCTGAGAGGACGTGCGACTGCGTGGTAAAGCAGAGTAGGAAACAATTGATAACCGCCGATATCCCTCCAATATGGGGCAATCGAGAGCTTATTTCTTCATGACGTCACGTGAACGACTTCTGTCATTGAGCCTTGGATCGAAAGGACTGAAAACGCCAGGAGAGAATAATGCACTCATTCTTTGCATTTTTAGCGGTTGTTCAAGGACCGTTTAACGAAGCTGCTTCGTCATCGAGCCGATGTTAGTTCAAAATGTTCGCCGTTGTCCTTATGCATGTGTTAGCAAAAAAAGAAAAAAGATTCAAGGTATTTACTTAAAACGAAATATCACAAAGATGAACACTTGTACGCAAAATTTTCGTGCTGACATTAAGCGGCGTTCTCAAATGCTCCACGAGTTCCATAAACGTATGTTTGCGTTTATTCACAGGCAACGACGCAAGAAAATCCTCCGCCGCCTCTTCTGTTGCTGTCCGCCATTCTGATCCAAACATGCTGCGCCGCGGGTCACCATCTGTCCACTTTATTATTGCTCGGAGAAAGTCATCCAGTTCGGAAATTCCGTTTTAGTTCAAAATATATTTATTCGCACGCAATATTAAAAGCGTTGTTCGCTTGAAGGCGCCGTCTCTCAATTCAACACCCACTGAGAAGTGAACGTACGTACAAGTACTAACTCGCTCACTTGTAAAGGTTATGCTCTTGAAATAAACATGATATGCGGGGTTTAACGTTCCAAAACCACTATATGATTATGAGAGACGCCGTAGTGGAGGGCTCCGGAAATTTAGACCACCTGGGGTTCTTTAACGTGCACCCAAATCTGAGTACACGGGCCTACAACATTTCCGCCTCCATCGGAAATGCAGCCGCCGCAGCCGGGATTCGAACCCGCGCCCTGCGGGTCAGCAGCCGAGTACCTTAGCCACTAGACCACCGCGGCGGGGCCCTCTTGAAATAAACAAAAGAAAACCAATAAAGTTAGGTAAAATGAAACCTGAGCGCATTCAAGGAGTCCCAAATTGAGTCGCAAAGGTAGCACAGAAAATACTGTCACAAAAAAAGCATATCTGCTGCTTTAAATTTGGTACATGTAATGTACTGCTAGAATATGCTATCTTTAAGTCCGCCACCTGTTATAATAATAATAGTAATAATAACAACAATCGTCATTGTTGTAATAATAATATCATTATATATTAATATATGGACGGAAACGTAGCATGTTTCAGCTGTACGATACAGGTACCAAATTATCAACAAAAAATTGGTGCGTAAGTTCTCTCTCTTATTCATTCTATATATAAAGTTACGCCTCGAACGAGAACCATTTGGTTCTACCTATTACGAATCACGGTTTCTATGGCATGAAAAAAAAAGTCACAGCTTTGCCGCAAAGGAGAAACAATGAACGCGATAGCAACAAATTGGAAGGTCACGCGCAGAATGGCAAGCAGATCGAAACTTGCCCAGCGTTTCTCACGCTCATGTGACGCACGAAACGTACTCACAGGTAAAGATAAACGTGAATGTGCTGTGCTAGTTTAAGTAAATGTCATTTTCAAAGAGCTCTGCAGGATCCGAACCTGCGACCGTTATTCGAAGGTCGTGGGTTTCTGACACAAGGATGATTCCTGTTCGTTACAGCAAATGTTAATATACATCACACGTGAAGCCACCCCATATGAGGCGCTCCTTTTTTGTTTTGTACAATGACGCAGCAACTATTGGGCAGCACTAATAGTCCTCTCCATGTGAGACTCTCGTTTTCCTTCGATCTAAGGTCATCCACGCTGACTTTACCAAAACGCTCGTAAAAGCTGGCTTCTCTGCAGTGAAAGCCTTATTGTGGCAAAATTAGCCTGCGAACAATTCACGGAACACGCGGTGTCGCTGTAGTGAAGGTTTCGACAAGCGTTCTTTTCCTCTTCAAGGCAGAAACTTGTATCCTGTGATCGTTCGTGGCATGCTTGAACACGAGGTGTATGATGTCACAATGACAATAGTAATAGATGTAGGAAGATAGAGTGGCATGAGCTGCAATCAGCAGTCAATGCAGTCTACGGTGTTCATCAAATAACTCTAACGGTCATATTCATGAAGAAGCAGACCAAGTGGTATTTTTGATTTCGTGTTTTTGCTTTGCATGTTTGACAGTAAGTTAACGTAGCCCTTTTTATTGAGTTTTATCGGCATATATCCCTCTCCTTCTTACCTCCTCGTCATTAGCCTGGCGTGTTCTCTTTGCTCATGCGCCCGCGTGAGCAACCTGATTTCGAACATGCAACATATCTAAATTTAAACAGTAGCCTCTCGCCATTTGTTCGGAAGCCGTTTACATTATAGACATCGATGCCTGCATAAAAAAGCTACTGCTTTCTATAGTACTTCTCCCAATAACCGTGAAACCTGCACGTTCATTGAAGTCTTCGTTTGTAGCTTAAGTATAACGGTGCTGGACAGACCTGCGAGTGTGAAGCAGCGCGGTCTTTTGTTGCCGGCGGCCGTGCCGAAAGAAGAAGCGACCGTGAAGGCGAGAGCAAATGACACTCGTGACCTTACCGTCTTGGAAGGCAGCGTTTTCTCGGCTTACACACCAGACGGGAACACGCGCATGACCTCGACAGCCTTGACAGCGTCGTTTCTATAGACGGAGTGGCCAAAAGGAGGAGCTTATAGCCAGGCGCCTGTTGCGGGAAACAATCATTTCCTTTCATTCATATTCATGATCATGGCTCGCACAGCCAAGCAATAACGTCGTCTTCGGCACCGAAGGTGTACGGGTTGTACGGCGCAACCCGTACAAAGAGTGTACCGTATAGCGAAAGTACTGAAGGTGACCATCCGTACGTGCTTTAAACCTAATTTTCGTCTAGATTGACTATGGCAATCATGTTACAGGTTGTACACGTTGCTGTATGCGAAGGGAGCTGTACCGCGAACTAAAAATGTGGCCATGAACTGCTCGACCGTGCTTCTTGAAACACTGACACCATTTTTTTTACACAAGTATGCAGCAGCAAGGGTCGCTTGTTCCCGTGTCGTCAGTCCCGACGTATATTTTCACTTTGTAAAGATCACACGCTTGCTTGTTTGCTTGTCATCAAACCTTAGAATACTTCAAATGTCATAGATCACACTTTTTGTTAGCGAACGTTATGGCTTGCTACTCGTTAATTTATTTAAAAGGACTGATCGCTGGGTGAATGGGTAATCCATGAATACGAAGAACTGCACGATGATATCATCTGAGACAAGGAAGACACATGCACTGCGCTCGTGCATGCATGCCTTACCTCTCCCACATATTTCGTGTAGTTTTCGTTTAGCCATGCTTTCGCAAGTAACAGGTTTAGCCAAAGGCTCGACAAGCATGACAAGAACCAGTAGTATTGGGAAAACAATGGGTCACATTGTTTATAGTTGTGATTGGTGTAGGTGTCAAAGATAATCCATACTTCTAAGTCACGCAGTAGCTGGGTTGTTTGATGGGTGTTTAATGTTCCGTACGATTCGTAAAGTGGTCGCACATAAGCTCTTTTCATTGGCAGGCATCTGAAGGCCGGCCATCTGACGGTATTTCGTCTCTGCATCTTCACGTCAACGCGACTGCATTAGGGTGGGCTCCTGCGTCACATCAAGTTTCTTGAGTAATTAACCATGTTATGACCAGGTGACAATCACAGGCCCCTGCGCCGAAACTACACCGAGAGGTCTGCACAGATTTCACTCTGTGAGAGTTATGTCTGGTTCTATGCCAGAGCCAGATTAATGAACTCCTACTGACTAGGTGCTTGTACACGTGCTGTGTGATTTGCTATCTTTCTGTCCCTTTCTTCTCTTTCCCTCTTTTAATCTCCCCCATTCTTTTCCTACGTGTAGGGTAGAAGACTGGTTATCCTGTACTTGGTGACCTCCGAACCTTTCTTTGCCATTTATTATTTGCCAACAAGTTTTCGCAAAACTTGTTGGCCGAGCGAGATGATCACCTTAACATGGAATGTGATAGTGAGCACCAAATACGCCTTGAGCCATAAGTAGTTCTTTCAGGTATTTCATAAGGTTCATTCTTACTATTTTACTACAGTTATTACAGAATGCTTCCATCTATTTGCGTAGCCTGTTTCTCGGTGTTTTATTGCTTCCGAAGCCATGTTGTAGACAGCGAATATGACAGCTTTTTCCGAAGCCACAGCATTTTCCACGAGAAGCGACTTTGGTGCATGCACCATCAATGCGCATATTTTTTTTCGACAGGAAGCGATTAAAATCTCCTTACAGCCGTCAACAGCGATTTACGTGCTAATGCGGTGTGTGCATGGTTGTCGCCCGCAAGGGCTGCATCGCGCGCTGCACATCTTCCATCACGAAATCGGACACGTCTCATCAACTCTCCAGCTTCCGGGATTCGCCGCCGGCTCTGTTCAATGCTGCACGGAAGGGTCAAGGGCCTCGCGTGTAATTCACGATGGGGGCAGTCTTCGAGGCCTTTTCTTTCCGCGTTTTCCTTCCGCCGGTGCACCGAAAGCCGCTTACACGATAGCGGCGCCGGCCGCAACGAAGGGTGGATATAGCCTCTTGCGTCAGCGTCCAGAACTGCCCGCATCGGCGCGAACGGACGTTCGGCATACCGGTCGCATCAAAGGCAGCTCCTCCGCGGCAACCCTCCATCGACGTGCATAGCCGGCCGTGGAATCCCAGGCTCCGACAGCGGCGCCGAATACGTGCTGCGCGGCTTCGCGTACCTGGGAAAGGAGGGTCTCTTTTATACTACAACCTCCTTGGTCCGGCAGGACCCAACAAAAGCGTGAGCAACGGCGGCACAGGCACAGGCAGCCGGGGACGAAGCGAAGGGTAACTGGCCAAACCAGTCCTCACGGCATGTGGGAGGCTACCTACCTGGACAGCGAAGCCGCCATGTTGAGGAGGGGGATGCTACCTCCTCGCTGGTGTCGGCAAGTTCCCTCTCTTCCTCATCCGTGCCCCTCTGAGCGCAGTGGCGGCGGAGGTGGCGTTTAATCCCGAGTGTGAGTTCACGGCGGTGTGGCGGTGCGTTTCGGTTTCCCCTCCAGCTGTCTCTGTCCTTCGCCCGTTGCGCGCCAGCGTGCCAGCGCATTCTTCGGGGACGACGAGGTTCAACTGCGCCGTGCGAGCTTGCGCACAAGACCTTGCGGGCCGTGCCGGCAGCGTTTCGCCGACGTTTCGGATTGTGTGCGATGAGGCAGCGGCGGTGAGGAGAGGAAAAAGAAGACGACGCCGTCGTCCCACGATTGTGCGGTGCGCTGCTCCCCCGGCGAGCGACGAGCGTTGAGAGACGGTCGTGTACTGCGAGCAGCAGCGGCATTCAAGACGGCGGCGCTTAAGCCTAAAGCGATCGAAGCGGGCGCGATCATGGAGCCCAAGTACGAGTACGCGAGCGAATTGAACCTCTACCAGGCCAACTACATGCGCAACTCGAAGGCCATCGGCGTGCTCTGGGCAGTGTTCACCATCTGCTTCGCCATCATCAACGTGGTGGTGTTCATCCAGCCGCACTGGCTCGGCGACACCAAGGAGTCGCGCGGCACGGGCCACTTCGGCCTGTGGCAGTACTGTCACCTGATCCAAGACGGCCAGGACGTGACGTGCCAGGGCCGACTGGACGACTTCAGCTCGATCCCGTCGGCGGCGTTCCGCGCGGCCACTGTGTTCGTCGGATTATCGGTTGTCATGGTGTTGTTGTGCATCTGCTGCATGCTGCTCTTCTTCGTGTTCCACTCGTCAACTGTGTTCCACATCTGTGGCTGGATGCAGGTCTTCTGCGGTGAGTGTCGCTATAGCTTAGCGCGCGCACGGCGCCCTCTGGTCGTCGCGTTGGAAGGATGCGAAACTAAACAATTATTGCAGGCGTACTATATCTCCTTGAGCAATTATACGTACAAGCTGTTCACAGTACACACCGAAGTTTCAGAATGGTGATCTGGTGACCGAAAAAGCAAGCACCTTTTTATTCTGTTAGTTTTGCGGTCTCGAAAGACATGCGTTTGGTTGCTGAAGCCAACGCAGCACGCTCAAACAGCGCCTAATGTGAATGTTCGTACTTCCCCGAAATACGACAACTACAGAAGCTAGCCAAGTAACCATTTCTTTCTTTTGTTAGCATGTGCTGTGCACGCTTGCAGCTGTTTTTATACCGTGAAAAGTGTACTGTTTCAGTGTTACCAAAGTCTAGGACATGCATACACTTCTACGATAGTGCAAGAGGTTCAATACGTTCAAGTCACTGTGTCTATCCGCAACGCTGATCTTACAAAGTATGCGATGAGAAAATGTCTCAAATAGTCAATGGTGTTCCTTCTGAGATCTCCTGTGTTGCATCAACTTACTAGCATTTGTTCCAATTACTATAAGTCTTAGGTAGCGCTTCTCGCGGATGACGGGTTTCCGTCATGACACCAGCAAAGCACTGCAGGCGGCTGTGCAGTCAAGTACACACAAACACGTAATATATATATCCATTCCGCACATTACTGCCGGCGATTCCTGGCTGTAGGTAGTACAGTGTGATTCGCAGTGTTCGGGGGATATGTATGGCTGAAAGGGGTGTTCTGCCAGCTCTGAAGAGGTTCTCAGCTGTGCACGCGAAACCAAAGTACAACACCTTCATATTATAAATGTTGCGGCACTATAAAACTCGCACACTACGTGATAAGACGACGGGACTTTTGTGGTGTGCGAGCTTTTAGCATCTGAAACAGTTATAAAACAAACAAACACCGTCTCACCCAATAGGAAGATCTTTTAAAGTACTGATAGACTTACCAAATTGCACTTTATTTTTGTAGAAAGTGGCACAGTTGCTTTAGACAAATGCGAGTCCAATAAGGTTAAAGGAAAATTGTATGATATGATTAGAAGAAAGACGTGACAGTTTTAGTGCTCGTCCTTTTTTGTTCTGGACAATACTAATAGAACTAACAGACAATGATGCCAAGGAAAGTATAGGTTTGAGCATCGAGTGCGTTATTTGAAGGTTTGGTTCCTGCCCACGGCAAGTTGTCGTTTAATCCCAATTTCTTTATTGACATTTACATTATAATTAATTTTAGTAACATCTTCTATACTTTCCTCGGCATCATTCTCAGTTAGTTGTCATCATGATACGATTGTGCAGTATATAACACAGCACGCAAACACATGTTGACATGTTATGCGCAAAACACTCGCATGATTGCAGCTGGAGCATCCCATCTGTGATGTAATTCCACGTTCCTTCACATGTGCCCCTGCATTACTTCTTTGCATCACACATTTCTGTGTGGGGCGCGCGCCCTCAAAATTTCTTTAACATGGTAAATATACGAATGTTTTTCAATAAATTGAAGAACATGGCGATAGGGACAGCTTGTGGACTTGGAGAGGGCCTACAAAGAGCGATCTGATGTCCTTTAGTCTGTATCCTCTTCTAAACTTGTAGTAACAGTAAACAAAAAAAAACCAATTAGATAAATAATTTAGACAGCTTCTTTAAGCATTCATTCAAACATTGGGCGCCGCCACCAGAACTACACCTTGATGTAGCATTCTGTCTACATAGGTGTGCCCTTAATTCTCAGCAACCTGCGGTCATATCATGTGGACAATCTGTTAAAGTATACAGACTCCATTGTATATATTCAAATTGTTTTATTAGGTAACTTAACCGTAACGTGAGTTCCCAGTGCACGTTCTACAGTTTTGCGGCCTCTTCTGAAGCACAAAAACGCGGATATATCAACAATAATACAACGCAGCTTCGTTTGTCATAGCCTTCGTGACCAAAAACTTGCGTCAATTAGCATATACATTCCACGAGCAGCAGGGCACAACCGCATTTAAAATAGCCATAGTTACGTAACACACGAGCAAGAAACTCTCTGCGAAAGCTGCTCGCCGAGGGGGCACGAAAGATTAACGAAAGAGCGCCGCGGAGAGCATCGATCCGGTTTTCTACTTTTCCGTGTTCCTAAGTACGACCATATCGCAAGGATGTTGCAGACGGCGGGGCTGATTCCCGCTGTGTTGGTGCGTCCTGCGTTGTTGCTCGTTCAAGGCCACCGTCCTAAATGCGGTGCCTGCGACACAAGCCATACACGCCCGATGACCTCACGTGCATCGCCGTTGTTTCTTTCCTTTCCTTGCTCGCGGAAAAAAGCTTTGCCTCTTACGCTGGCCTTCCCTGGCGCGATTCATCACGCAAGACCTGCCGCGTTATAGCCGGTTGTTTCGAACACACCATGTGCACGTCAGCGTGTGGTTTTTGCCATAGTGAATGCGCGTAGAATATCCGAATCTTCTGTATACAGTCATCTCTTCGCTACTTGCTTACGACTATTAATAGGCGAGAATGAATGAGCGCCCTGCGTGCAATATGCTTTTTACCTTCCTCGCCCACAGCTCTTGATATACCTAGAAAAGAAGCACCACTTTAGTATGTATGAAGAGAAAATCATGCGTAACTATTGTGTTACCGGAAAGTCATAAATATAGCACTTGTAGTATAGAGTACCACACCCCAACTCAACCACCTTGCAGACACGCAGTGGCCACCGCACCATAGGTCTAGCTGAATTCGCTAAGCTTCCAGTTCTTTGAAGTGCGCGTTACGATTGGCCAGGTGACATCGTTAATGGCGTGTTTTTCATCACGATTGGCCGAAGTTTTTTTCTGTCACAAACAAACCTGATGATGAGAGAAAGGAATAGGAAGACTGTAAGTTTAACTAGATATTAGCATCCGGTTTGCTACTCAGTGCTGGGGAGTGGAAAATTGGGGCAAGAAAGAGGGCGAAGGTAAAGATAGAAAGAGATAAATAAAAAAAAACACAAACAAACACGGGCACGAACAGCGTTGCGGCTACAGTCATTCATGAATACCGTTCGATCGCAAAAAGCGCAGTAGCGCTTTCAAGGCCCTCTTTCGTGACGTTGCACCCCGACGATGGTGTACAATTCCCTTCTCCGGCAGAGGTTTGTTATCTATCTTGTTGAGCACGTTGCAAAGCTGTAGTCTGTGTGCACTATAGTGTCGACAGTCACAAAAGATGCGTCCAATAGCTTCTCTACAGCGGTCACAGGTGGTGGTATCGGCCATCCCAGTGCGCGCAAAAATCTTTTACGAGTATATATAGGCTAGGTAGGCATTTATAAAATGGACATATAGAGCGACAAGCATTCAGTGGCAAGTCGTACTTCACGCAGTGCAAAACGAACGTAATCAAATGTATTAAAAACCACTAGTACGAATTTAGACTATATGTTGCTCACTGCATGTAGCATATATATGCGAAGCGAACGCAATAATGGTGCACAATACGCGTGCGTTTTAACATAAAAATTGTCGTGACGAGGACAAGAAAAGAAGTACATGACAGGACGTACAGTAGAATGTATCACCAACCAGCCCCACAAAGTGTTGTTAAGAACCATGTGATCGACGTATTTTACCGATATGCGTGCTGTGAATGAGATTGCATCTACGTCCGTTCTTACAGCTAAAAGTCACGTAAAAGTAACACTAAATAATACACATTATTCCATTAGCACGTAAAGGTAGCCATGCATACTACCGATGCCATTGTCAATGTGGATGTGCTTCGAAGTGTGTATATTTTCGTTAGGCGGTGTGTAGGTTTCCCCCAAGACCAAATGCCGGCCATAGAAGACGAATCATTCTTTCATAAAAAAGACACATGAACCGACATTTAGTCTACAGTACGTGTACGACAGTCGACACTCCTCCACACGTGAAAACTCGCAGTTCAGGTGATTTGGCTACACGAGCGTATGCGTGCACGCAAGGTCTCCACGGGAGAGTGCACCCTTGTGTGCACGTTTTTTTTTTTTTTTTCCATGTAAGGAAGGCCTTGCAATATTACTTAGACGGGTCTGTTTCGTCGTCGTTTAATTTGCAGGGTTATGAATCTGCAGGTTTTTTTCTCTCTTTTTCCCTATAACGGTGGTCGAGGACGCTGATGTTGCTTTTCAAGAATAGTCTATGACCGCGTTCATTCCCATAAACCCGGGTACCAAAAGCAGGCATTGGGAGCAGTGCGCCATCGCTCCATTTTCATTTTTGCGCTCATTACTAAACTATTTCTTCGGACCCGTCCAATAGAAAGGGGTGGGCGTGTAGGAGTATTACGTTCAAAATTGAAACGCTGGACACGCCTATGTCCGCAAGATTACATTCTGTGTGTGGGGGGAGGGGGATGGAATTTACATCCTCATCCCTCCCTCTTCCGTATCGCTGTTGCTAGCTGCCTCCAAGCGGACTTGGTAGGCACTTCTCAAGAACTCGAACAAGGGATGCAGCTAGACATCGCTGCTTGCACCGAAAGGGTCGCTTCTAGAGTGGAGCCACCCTGAGGCTCAGGCGCAGACATAGTCCATATCCGCAAATTAAAGTTGTCGCCACCACCGTCCTTATCGCGAACATACCCATACTGTCATGACAGCTCACACACGTCAGCGTTTTTTGGATCTCGTTCCCTGTAAATGCAGTCACTGTGCTGTGATCACATTCAGTTTTTATTTCCTTTCGCGAAGAGCAGGACTTCCTCGTCGGCAAACAATGAAGAGAAGGAATCATTACAACGCGTCCAGCTTGCAAGGCTCTCGGGTCTCAATCCGCGTCCCTACACACGTGTTTCTCTTTTTAACGTCTAGTAACTCACGTTTCCCGCATCGGGTCTGTGCTGTGGCCGCCCCCAGCCGGCGAGCGTGACAGACGTTTCCGTAACATTCAGTTTTACACTTTGGTTTATTTACGGTGCAGTGCGGTCAA